AAGAATCGTCCTTCTACTAAACTGAATTTCCCTGGGGTTACAGTCTCTTACAAACCGAAATCAAACTATGTAGACGATGCCTTGCGTTTTTAACTCTTAAGATAAATTCCCAGTAGTTTGGAAAGCACTTATAACAAACATGTTTGACAGTCGAACCCAAACAATGGTAGGAAATATCTCCGGCGAACGTAAATTAACATGGAGATTACTTAGGAAATGGCATATTTGTCTTTTTCTTTGGAACACTTGAGAAAATGATGCCTGTCCAGAATGCTGAAATCTCGATCTACTGGAATGAGACATAAAATCTGTCATAAACATTTGTGTATCTGAAGTATAACGATTAAATTTCCTAAATAATTTTTAAACCTGTTATATGTTAATAATCCTGAATCTTGGTTTCATGAAAATGTCAAGGTCTAGCGTCATTTCAAAATATGTTCTTTGGATCCTGTGATATTTTTTAGAAATGTGGACGAATGGCTAGAAAGTTTGCTTTCTGGCTGTTATGGGGTCCACCCCCTTTTCATAGAAATGGACTCGACTAGTGTGTACTTGTTCTGCTGTCGGTGAATACCCGGGAGAGTAAGAGTGAGTAACAGAGATACACTGATAGAGTGATACAGTGAACAGTGAGTGAGTAAGAGAGCGAGTTAACCGCTTTGTAGGAGTCACAGTTGCGAGCACGTAGACTCAGAAGGAAGTCCTACTTCGATACTGAATTTCCCAGACTGTATATATATTATTATTGCTACTAACCGCATTTCTGGATCTACTAACCGTATTACCAATTGTATTATTGCGTCAATACATTTATTTGCTATATTTCATTCCTGCGTTTGACATTCATTTCAGACCGGATTTCATCTCGGAATCCATAACACTGACCATGAGATCCGAGTTTAAATTTCACCAAGGTCAATTTGTTCGTAAGGTGACTTCATATCAATCTGTAAGACTAATCGTGTTACAACTTTGGAAAGTGCGTGAAATGAAATTAGGTAAACTGAATCCATTGGGAGCCGTCGATGGTTGTGCTAGTTGGAAATCAAAAGATATTGTCACCGAGGGTTTGATTGTGCTGGCGTTGTTCAGATTGTTGATCCTGCTAGATAACACGCACTGTCCCAAAAACTTTAACGCTCAGCATAGTTGCTGTATAAATCACAGGTTGGCTGTGTGGGTGTTGAGCAAACACCAATGCGCCTGACCAATTGATGGTCATCTATTGCCGATTTATCAGAAAGGTGACTTCTTGTAGTATACTGGCATTCTCGGATACGAGTGGGGGAATTCATTTTTGACTAGTAAAATAGACACGCGCAAAGACACACATATGCTGAATCAGGCGTATACCTTAGGAGAAAAAGTTGGATTAACTTATAATAAGCTATCTAAATAGACAGAGGTTAATTCTAGACGTTCCTTCCAGGTCCTGCAACTACCTAAGAATCGGCCATAGTTACTCTAAAGTGGATAGCTCAACGCTGTAAAAGACCAAGGCTGTGACCTAAACTGACATGCATTACTAGTGTTAAAGTAGAACTGAGAAAGAACAAGTGAAGAAATAATGCAGGCCTTTGCTGATCGATGGTTCGAGGTACAAGGTAGCAAAGTAGCAAGTGGAACATAGCATGCTGCACATGCGCGCACGCCCCATAACTTATGTGTATGTGTGTGTGTGTGCGTATGTGTGTATGTGTGTGTATGTGTGAAGTACTGCGCCAAAGTAAGAGAATCCCTAAAAACATATTTGTACAAACTTTCTCTTTTTCCATATAATGAACAGATCTTAATGAAACTATATGTTCATTAAGAAAAAAAAAATTACTAAACGACTTCCAGGCATTTTCGATTTTTTTTATCAAGCTGGAATATAAATATTAATGAAAAATTAAGTTCTGCAAAATTAAGTAAACAAATATTAAATTTTATAAATGTTTATAAATCAAAGAATGTTTCAGAGAATATGAATGCATATTTTTTTTCGTAGGGAAACTGAATGAGATTTCATAGATTGTGCGTCCAGACACGTCGAAAAATATGAAAACCTTAAAACTTCAGAAAAACTTTAAATCAAATATTTAATATTTAGCTTTCGTACACATTCGTTTCTTCCCCTCGATGTATAATTATAATCGATGTTTTCTTTTGTGTCTACCATACTCCTCCTACTGCGGATAATTCCATCAATAACAATATTACTTATCAGCGTTAAACAGAAATTTCACACTTTTTCATTGGATTAACTAATAAATATTGCATTAAATTCCTCGATATGTATTGACCTGCCTCAATTAGATATGTATTAACGGCACCAGTGGTCAGCATTCAGCCTCAAGTTAGAAAAGTAGATTTAGAATAGAGAATTTTCGAATTTAAGTACAGAATACAGAATATACACTTTGACTACAGGATTTCCCACGTTGTCATTGAATTGCCTCAATTAGTTGAGTATTAACGACACTAGTGGTCAGCATTCAGCCTTCAGTTAGAAAAGGAGATTTAGAATACAGATTCAGATTGACAGGCGGCTCAATGAAATGGACGATGTCACATAATCTTCCTATTGTGAGTGGCATTTGGTCTTGAACATGGTTAAGATAAATCACTAATCGGCATGTTTAAAGCAATATCAATCCTTGTGGTTTTAATTTATTATTATGCACGAAAGTTGCAAATATATTATGGCGAATTAGTTCAATAAAGACACGTATTTTCTCTAGTTATTTGCAAAATGTATTTTACAATCACAGGGAATTAAATTTGCTATAGGAAGATTTTAATTTAAAAATTATCTGAGAAATTATTCATAAATACATCTGCCAATATTCCTTACGTATATAGTACGTCGAGTAATTTTTATTACTAATATCGAAGGCCCAAGAGTCACTCAAGGAAGAGGTTTATTGTTTGGTGTTGCATAAGCGTAAGAAAAGGCAAGATGGGAAATTCATAGAGTTATGCAAACTTAATACAGTTAAGTTAGACACGAAGAGGTCAAGATTGTAGTGATTGAAAAACATGCACCACTAAGCAGTAAGTCTTGGTCAGAAACTGAGTTAATGGAACTTACACCATACTATTGGAATAAAAATGGAATGGGGAGGATTCACACTTGTGTACGTGGCATGACGGGTCCTTGTTGGAAATGTCACAGGTGGTGAGACTAAGGAATATATCACGTTAGAATACAGGCCATGAATTAGCGATAAATCAAGCAAGAGGCTTGCGACATTTCATCTGAGGGAAAAGGATTTGTAGGTTGGAAAATAATTAATCGCCTACAAGACGCTCTTGAACTCTATCAAGAGAGACGCTTCAAATGTTGACAGGTCCAGCAATACTGGTTAGAACCTTTCGTTTTCAGGGCATCTTTTTCACATGAGTTTTCAGAAATCAGATCTAAATTATCTGAAGTGAATAACTGTAACTCAATAAAAAGCAGTCTAACCTGAAAATAGTTTTACTCTGCTTAGAATCTTAGTAATTTTCTGTAGAAATTAGGACGGAATGATGTTATACATATTTTAGACAATCATCATGTCACGCGGTTTAAACTCTGGGATTTAATGTGCTGACTTCGGCTGCCGAAAATTAGAGGAGTGGCTTTTACCAATTTTTGAGCATTTACTTTTATAGACTGCCTGGAAAATATACAGAAATATCTAATTTCCGCAGAGTTTTGCTTGCAAACTGATTTCAAAAGTTTACTATTTTAAGAGTAAGTCCAAATAAACTTGATATATTTTACATTAGATATATTGAATAGAAAATATATTCAGAACGGTATTTTAATGATAACACAAAAAAAATATAGGCAATTTTTACTGTATTCTTTAAGTAAAAACTGTACAAAGATTGTAATGGATTAGAGAAAAAGGCTACTCAATGAATAAGATTTGCTAGATCATTTGTCAGATTATTTGTACAAAAATAGTTTATACAGCATAATATAGCTGAGCACAAATTAAATTAAAAATATTTTAAATTTGCATTGTTTATTGAAAATCGAACTAAAACTACTGCATTCTATAATATTCCAATATAATATAGCTAAATTTTGCAGTATAATTTCCCTTTCAAGTACATTAAGATTTTATTTGATGACCCAATTATTTAATAATAATGTGTTTATGCTTTGCATCTTTTCCATGTACCATTTTTAAAGTTTCAGTAAATTAAACATTTTAAAATCCCTACTATAAGTCTTTCACTAAACACCGGAAATAAATTACAACGATGCGATTTTTTAAGTTAAATTTAATATTTTAAATTGTTTCCTCAAAAAGCGATGACGATTTGGAAAAATATATTCTCAGCTTTCTTTACAATGTCAAACTCCAATCTTTAAAAATTAGTGCAATACACTGATTCTAAAATCAACATTTCCTTGTAGTCATACGGTTATTATGTCCATCTTGATTTTATGTGTACACTATGGTTTCCGGTTTGCTATGGTGTTTTTCGTATAAGAATATTACCTTAAATATTGATATATGTAATTATATTTTAATAGAGAAATATATTGCTTTGATTTTATTCAGAAAATGCTGGCGTTTTGAACGCATTGATACGTTTTATTCTTTTGCCTGTATATAAATTTGTGGAAATCGCTATTTAACTTGATTTTCGCTTTAATTTCTTATTCCTTTTCTACACTTTTATTTCAATCTAGATAGCACATTTCACCCATGTTCCTGGCTGTTATTTTCTAATATATTCCAACAATAATGTTTTGTATCATGTTTTTTTTATCTATTTACACTCACAAATTTAAATCACTTTCCGCAATCTACACTCCCCTCTCTCACATGCTTAAGTTTTTTTTTCTATTCCGTTCTCCATATGGCATAAACTGTCTATCATTCTTAAACACTCACTCTTACGATCTGTTGTGAAAACCCTTTTCTTTTCTTTCGCCTAGAATTTTTCTCTCATTTACTTTCTAATTCATTTTACCTGCTCTTACATTCTCTCTCAACTCTTTATGTTTAAAGTTCTCACGAAATTTCAACGCCCCTTTTCCTCTCTCCTTCTTACACCATCTTTCTATATTCCTGTTCACCGATTCACAATTGCGTAAAATCTATCTATCTATCTATCTATCTATCTATCTATCTATCTATCTGTTTAAATGCAAACTTAATTGAAAGTAATTTACTAAGGCAAAAATATATAGAAAGTGTACTGATTTCTGAATCATCCATGTTATATATCAGTCATAGTTCATACAAAATTTAACCTTCCTTAACAAATCTGTTTTCACAGCGAGTTGGGAAACTGCATGAGATATGTGCGTCTAGATACGCCGGAAATCAAAAATGTAAAATCTAAAATCTACGTATCTACTCCCGACAAAAAAATATGGAAGTAGCACACTGATATTATGTTCAATTTTCTTTTTATGTAGAAATAAATAATCAGATATGACACGTAAAACATTTTTTCATTTAATAGCTTTACATTCGGGCTTAATAAGTTATACCTTAAGCAGACTGAATCAAAGTATTTAAAAGAATATTATATTTTTACCAAGATATCCTAGATAAATATCTCGTAGAAAAACGCAATATTAGGAAAGGAATTATGGAATTCAACGAGAAAAATGAGAAATAATTAGTTGCACTGGCTTGATGTAATCTATATGACAAGCGTAATTCATTCTGGCATGGATTTCAATAATTTAAAGCAATATTTATTTGCTGACGTTTAATAGATATTCTTTCGTGAATGTGACTTTTTCTCTCTACTATGTGCTAATTTTTCCGCCTTTGATTTTCAATAGAATTTAGGTCCGTATACTCCGCTGCACATGTCATTGACTTTATATGGATTTCCTGGAGAAAAGCTTTAACCCACTTTACTCAGTGACTAGATGCATTATTTTCTCAAAAATTTATTTTTGTCATCACCAAATTATTTTGAGTTGATGCAGTAAGAAATTTATCAGTGATTTGAATGTGCGCATGTGCATTGCTTGTTGACATAGGGATTGCCATATTCCCTGTTCTTTTAACTGACATGTAACCCCAAATAATGAATGACTTGAGGAATTTACGTGATTCCTTCAGGCATTTATCTTTATATGTTTCATTTCAACAGCATCAGAAAGAAAGTTCAAACATCTTGGCCAATGCAGATCTTTGTTTTGTCACTGAATATAACTGCCAGCCAATCGTCCACACGCCATGATTTTTTTTCCTTAACTCAATTGAGAGACATTTTTTTGTTTGTGTTTTAGTGTTGGTTTCTGTTTTGTTTTGTTTTTGTTTTTTCTGCATGCAAATCGCATGTCATCTATGTGATTTCTTAAAGATATATCTCATTTTTCACTCATTTGATTGGTTCATTGCCTATTTTATATTTTAAGGCATACTGCTTTGTTTTCTAACCTCACGCTTTAATGTCATTCGTGATCTAACAGAATATTTGTCCTGTTTAAACCATCCAGTTTCTTTTATATTTGCACCAAACTTTATAATGTTTTTCATTGATACAATTAGAATTTCTCTCGTTACGTCTACGTTTTAAATCAATTAGCTATTCCAAATCGGTGGGGTCTGCATTTTCACTCACTGAAATGTAGATCGATTCGTCTACATTCAAAAAATGAACATGTAGAACAATTTGAGACATAAAATATTTGGAACACATGTAAAGTTATTGGAAATAACGAAAAAAGAAAGTGATGAAGAAAAAAAGAAAGTGATGGATGAATACAGAAAAAAAGAAGAAAGAGAGAAATTATGAGGCGAAGAAAGAGAAACGACTGAAATAAAAATGACGTGAAAAGAAATATAGATAGAAAACGATGATAATTAAGCAACGTAAATATGACTGATGGATAGAGACCAGGGTAGAAGGAATGTGGTTGTTCCAAATATTTTATACATATATATATATATATATATATATATATATATATATATCTTCCATTTTTGAAACATGGTTAGAACTGTGTAGCGAAAAATACCATATTTTAAATCAATTAATTTATAATATTAATGCTCTGTAAATTTACATTGAGAACTATTTTGTAAAAATAAAAATATCTATAAGAACACCGGATTATATATCTTACTGTTCTTTTATATATATATGTGTGTGTACTGCCTGTTTTGCAGTATGGCTAGACATCCGACTGCTTCAAACCGAGATTGAAACTCGAACGATTTGGCATCAGTCAGAGCTTCTCCCCACTAAGCCATCGGTGAACGGTAGAGAGAACGGACCTTTTAACGTATTATATACCTGGTGTATATAAAGCTAGATCACCAGCCATCACGCTCAATTCTGGCGAAGATCTATGCGATAATCAGGGGTAGCAAATTTTATAAATTCCCTTTCTCCACAGGGCTCAATCGGCGAAAGAGAAGAGCTAGTATATATATATATATATATATATATATATATATATATATATATATATATATATATATATATATATATATAGACATTTTACGAAACTTATCAATCATCTACACCTACCCTTACGATGACAAGAAAATCGAAAGCATACACCTGTATATTTCTTCCGAATTGTCCTTCGGACAATTTCGGAGGGAATTTCTTCCTTGTCTGAAAGGATTATTCATAACTGTGAAAAGTCGCCCATTAAAATTAATGTACACAAAATGTATGTCGCTTTTAATAGTATTTTACTTAATGAACATTTACTGTCTAAATACACAGAATATATGTATGTATGTATGCATGTATATATGAGTCTATATACAGAGATATAATGATCGCAACAAGAACACCATGCAGAAGGATAATAGCAAAATGGCTGACAGAACCCAACTCTAGATTTTTCATCCTGGAAGAAAACAGTGCAGAATTGCAATACAAACTTTGAAAAGAATCATGTTTTAATATGCGGAAGCCAAGGATGTTGTTCGTAGATGTCTTGATTTTAATTTCCTTGAGAATGTTGTCATAGAATTTAATATGACATGTTATAAATGTAGTCGGGTCTGTCTAAGTGTGTGTACAGGGCTAAAAATCATCAAATATGACATCCTGTGAAACTTCACCAAAATATATATGTAACAAATATTGTAAGAAGTACAAAATGCTACAACATCAGCACAAAATAATCGAAAATAGTAGCAGAACGAAAAAATAATCACAGAAGACTGATGATCTATGTCATTTAACTACAGAGGAAATATCTGTATAGCAAGTTTATATTGCAGTTTATAAAATAAAACCTTGCTCGCTAGACGCTTCCGCTATAGCTAAATGGTGTATCACGTCATGCTATATGGCGGTTCCGTGTAGGATTCAGCTTCGATTTCTGTCGGAAAACACATGTTTTATTTTAAATTTCTCGGACATCCAGTAAATGTTTTTAATACTGTTTTTTTTTTTTTTATTAACAGAGCATTAGCTTAAATATTTCTATCGATAAAAAATAACGTATAAACTATATATATATATATGTATAATAGGCTCAAAAACTAGTATTCCATGGTTATAATTTATTACACTGATATCGTAATCACGATCCAATTCATCAGACCTACAAATTCAAAAAGAAATCGGAAAGTATAATTCCAGGTATAAAAACAAAATTTTAGTGGACATTGAGTTCTAACTGAATCCTATCACCTTGGGAAATTATATATATATATATATATATATATATATATATATATATATAATATTACTAATATTATCAATATATATATATATATATATATATATATATATATATATATATATATATATATATATTGTACTGGCTAACATTTATATAGCGTACTATAAAAGTTCCTTCAATTAACTACCTATCTATAGATTGACTATTCTTTCTGTGTCCGCCTCTTTCTGTTTATCTACTTTTACCTTCGTTTATAACATTCAATTCGTAATTGGTAATTTCTTTATTATTCCTTTCACGAATCCCAAACAATATTTAGCTTATTTCCTTTCCTTTCGATCGTATCTACAACACTGTTACCTTTGCTTCTTTTCTATCTGTTTTCGATTCCTAAAAACGTCTTTTTTTTATTTATCCCTTTTCATCAATTTCTCTCTCTATCGCTCTCTTTCGCTCTTTCCCTCCGTTTTAAATTCACATTTCCCTGTTTTGTTTTTTATTTTGTCTTATTTCCCTTCCTTTCTTTACACTTTCCAAGAGCTCGTTACTATTTTCTCCAATTTGAATTCGAAATGAGATTCATTGAATCGCACTGCGTTCATCTTCCGCGATTCGATTTCAGTCTAGTTAAGAGTTGTGGAAAATGACATACAATAAAGCAGAAATTATTGTCATGCCTCAAGGTATACCATCTTTCCTCTATTGTTATTGTGCCTAGGAATTTAATGAGAACACTACACAGCATAACACTTTTTTCCCTTACCCAACAACGAGAATTGAAATTTAGGCGGTCGTTAACAGATTTCCCGAAGAGATAGCTTCCTTTTCAATGTAGTAATTCAAATCAGTAATAGTAAGTTTTCATCGATTTTCGAATATATATCTATACATATATACATATAAATATATGTGTGTACGTGTGAACGCGAGTGTGTGTTAAATACGTAAATATAGACCAACACTATATGAAAACTACCTGTTCACTCCCAAAGCGATCACGAGACCAAATGTTCTCTTTTTTTTTGGCTAATAGGGGCTTGATGGAAGTGAGGTTAATTTATATGACAGAAGTTCTTTTTTAATCATTTCACTCCAAGAAAAGCAATACAGCCACTAAGACTTATGGAGTTATTTATTTTGAGAGAAAAACAGTATTAATTAAAGATAAGTAAAAAAGACTACGAATTACGAACAAGGAAGAAAACGATTGTCATTGATTTAAATTATTTAAGATAAAGTTGAGTGGAAAGCAAAAATACAGAAGATACTACCACAAAGCAGAAATACGAGGGAGGAAATTGTTATCACAGATGTAACGGTTACATCTAGCCATTGCAATATAAAATGATGAGACCTTTCCGCCGATCAAGAATTGCGCTTAGATTTAGATACCGGAAATCTACCTTACGTCGGTTGGAATGTGAGATGCCATCTCAGGAACAATAAAATTGCAGTTTTTCGTAGAATTTTATCATAGATTTCAAAATATATGGCACAGCTAGCAGACTAGATATGGCAGCTATATTCAATGTTCGTTGAAGCAAATCGTGCATAAGAAACGGACTGAAATAAGTACATAGCAAAAAAAATCTGAAATATATATGGAAATGAAGCAATCAAAAACAAGTCAGTAGAAGATTAACCTGGAAAATAAGAAAAGCTCATCACTATATCATCTCAAAGTAATTCAGTTTTTGCTTAGAATAAAAATTACAAATATCCACATTGCTAGAACAATATATATTTCTAAAAACATGTCAGAAATCATTTTCAAAAACAAAACCGAAAACAAATTCCTATTAAGCTACCTACAACCGCATTACGATTTAATTTTATGCGCCAGTGGGCTTTATTTAAGAAGGCCAGGTCTTGTGTTGCTACAAAGATAACCCAGCAAATCAAACACATCAATACGTTACATCTCCGATAATGTAAGCGTGGGAATAATTTGTAATATATTGTGTTATATAAATCTCCTCCCAGAGACAAAGTGGGCACTCTCTCACACGGACTGTGTTCGGTTGAGAGCTGCACGGTACCGGGCGCTCATATTAGCTGACAGTAATTTAATATGCCGAGAACTAAATAAAAAGTTACATGAAATGTGGTAGATTAAAATCACGTGTTCTTTATTACAGTGCACTTAGTGATATTTTAATGACATACCAGTTTCATCATGATGAATCAACATATTACGGAACTAATACTATGAATAAATAAATAAAAATAGTTATACAGGGTATCCCCAAAAATTGATATCATTTCACAGGCCAATAATTTTGGAAATTCTTGTTGAATTAACCTCAAATTTTCCTAGAAACAGATCAATATTTTATATTTAATGTTTTATATTTGTTCTGTTTTCAGATTGAGTTATGCTATTCACTCGCAAAGAGAAGTAATCTTGCGTCTTGGAATATGCTCGCACACAGTCACCCAAGACTGCGCAGCGTGCCTTCATTGCAAAACTTGGATAAAAAATCAACAACTGGTAAACAAATTTGGACTTGGTATCAAAGATTTAAAGATGAAGGCTGCTTATGCAGGGATAAAGAATCATTTAGACCATCATCCATATCAGTGTGTTTGGTAAAAGCTTAACTAACGATTGACGTGTGCTGTGTCATATGCGGTGCACATATTGTACACTTATAAAATCGGCCCCATAATAAACTTATGATATTCAACACCTAAAATATTTCATTTCATTGAGCAAAACTTAGTAGTTTTCAAGATAATTGCTTTAAAAATAATCTCATTTTTTTAGTAAACCCTGTAAAAAATAATAAATAGTAATTTCAAAAAGAAAGAAAATGTAACAAAATAAAATAAGTAAATAAATGATTATAAATTAATACATTAGCCGGAAATATTAAATTTGAAAGAACCATTTTTGATTTATACGCTTGCGATATGCTGATCATTATTCCGATATATTTAATATTGATACATTATATACTCTTTAGATTATAATAATTTAGTCTCTTTCAGGTGTTATGTATTTTTTCGCTCTTAAGCAAGCACTCTCATACGTAAACATGCCTGATGATATATTTCATTTTTGGATTTCAGATATACATTGAAAGTTATATTAAGATTTATTGTTTTGTTTGTTTTTATTTAATTTTGTATAGATAGTGTCTGATGCAACGCGTTTTTACATTTTTAGACGATGCTCCAGCGTCTTGGGTATGACGATAAACTAAATCCGCGTCCAGCGTAAGACGATAAATTCCAACAGCAAGGCCACTGATCAGGAAGATTTGAGGAGCGTGGAACCTCTTCTTAATTGCTGTTGTTCCCAGGCGCACCCTGACCCGGGGTGGTAGTACCTGTTAGGGTCCCAGCTCTGGGCAAATAGTTAAACCAGAAACTGAGGTAAAAGGCATTATAAAAGTGTAAAATAGGCTTTAATATCAGAAATACTTTGTAAAAAATTATTACCAGAAATAAATTTTGGAAGAAAAAATAATATTACCAGCTATACGTTTTTGAGGAAAAAATATTAACAGAAATAAATTTTAGACTAAACAAAAATATTACCAGGAAAAAAAAGTTGTCGGCTAAAATAATCCATTGAAGTTGATATGCCTTAAAACAAACCAAACTAAACCAAACTAAACCAAACCAAACCAAACGATAATCCAACAGCAAAAATACAAAATGTATTTTCTTTTATTGTTATTTGGCTTTTAGTGGGATATGGGAAAATGGGGGTAGCAAACACCCAAGACGATTAGGGACATAGATAAGCCCACAAAGGGAAACGAAAAGCCAGATCAATAACATATCGATCAATAAGATATTCAGAATTGTAAAACATAACTGGGTGACGGCTGTTGGAGTGACCAACTTCCAGTGATACGTAATCTCCAAATAAAAATTGGGAAATTTAAGAAAGCAAAAGTAGAACCTGCAATGCAATACAAAAGATTTCTAAATGAACCAAATAGCAAAAAAGATTATTTTCACTGCGTTAAAAACAAATAAAATGAACTAAAAGAGAATGAAAATTCAACGTGTGGCACATTCAGAGAAGCTTCAGTTCTATAGCAAACTATATCATGCCAATTAATACTTGTTAAAGAACAAAACCAATCCATGAGTGACAGAAATATTGACATGATAAAATACATACTGGTATACTGTATATAGTACGAAACAAAGTAATTAGAATCAAATGAACGCAAGCAAAAGAGGAATGAGTCAATTAAAATGTGTGCAGAAACTAAAGGAACATAAAGGGTACGGCCGATATGCATAAATAATAAGATCGACAATAAGCATAACGTCAAAAGAAAAAAATAATTAATGAAGAGATAACAATAATTCGATGAAAAGAATAAAGCAGAGACCTCTCCAAAGATGAAGGGAGAAATACTTGCAATAATAAAAAATGGAAGAAGCAAAAATATTATGATCTGAAGGGCTATCAGCACTGGCCAGAAAGAACAGGAAAACCAGACAATTATGTAACAGAAATGTTTCTTGTCTTTAATGAAATCGGCATTGAGAAAATTGCAGAAATAATAAAGGAAATGTATATCAAGTGTGATATGGGGGAAAACTTTACTAGCTTAATGTTTATAACCAAAACAGCCAGTTGCAAAAGAATGTTGTCTCCATTGGACACTCAAACTTCTTAATTCGATTTAATAGAACGCGGAATAGCTTTAGATTCCTACTAGAATAATAACAATGCCTTTTCATTAAAGACACTGCAATAAGCAATTCTGTATTTACGCTTAAAAGGATATCAATAAGAGCAAAGAAATACAGAGGGAGGTAAACTTATATTTTGTAAATTATGCTAAAGAAATATTGACATATCTGGAAACGATAATATAATAATGAGAAAATATACACATTTTGCCAGAGAATTTAACATTTCGTGAATTCGGAATGCAAGATTTTAGCTAATGAAAAGAAAAAAAATTCAAATTTCTGTCTGCTAGGTAGTTTAGTTTTAAATATCGATGCGTCTTATTTCAATTAGCGATTAGTCTTCACACACACGCAAACACACGCAAACAAACACACACATACACAAAGACACACAGACACACACACACATATATATATATATATATATATATATATATATATATATATATATATATATATATATATATAGGGTGGGATTATATCTATTTATTTTCGTGTGTCTGCTTAAATGTTCGAGAAATCTTATGGAAGATGATGATTCGTCCCTACGCCCAACTTTGCAAAAGAAACCGTCTTTAGAACCGATGTGTTCGAAACAGATTCAACCACGAATCAAGCAAAGCTGTATAGTGCCTTATCATTAGAAATAATTCTCAGATCATCGGAATTTCATATCTGTTCAATTATGTATCTGAACGTTAACAACGTAATTTGTAAAGAAGCAATATTTATTTAACCGACATAAAAATACATTAGTTATACATATATATATATATATATATATATATATATATATATATATATATATATATATATATATATATAATATTATTTTTGTCTAAGGTGTTGTTTAAGTCTTTAACTACTTTCTGATTTCTACTGTGTATAAAATAAATAGGCCACTTCTAATG